GGCGATGATATCAGAACCACCTTAGCCAGGACATAAACACAACACAAGGCCAGAACATCAGAAATATCTTGGCCAGGGTATCAGAACCACTTTGGCAAGAACATAAGAACCATTTTGGTAAGAACACCAGAAACACCTTGGCCAGAACATCAGAACCGCTATGGCCAGAACCACCTTGGCAAGAACACAAGAACCACTTCAGCCAGGACATCAGAACCACCATGACCAGAACATCAGAACACCTTGGTCAGAACATAAAAACTACTTAGGCTAGACATCAGAACCACATTTGGCCAGAATATAAGAACCTTGCAACCACCCACTGGACAGGACATCATAACCACTCTGGCCAGGACATCAGATTCACAGGTGACCAGAACATCAGAATCACCCCAATGGCCAGACCAAAGCCACCTGTAACTTTTCAATAACATGTTGTCATAATAGTATGTACATCACAGACAGTAAATCACACTGGAGCAAATAATCAGCTCACTTTGTAATGTGAGTTGGCAGTTTGTTGTATTTTTGATATAATTTCTACTTTAATTTAATTAAACTTTTCGATTCCAAATGTGGAAATAGTCAAAATAATTCAGACAGTAATACATATATGACATTTATAAGCCATATGACAATATTTACCGGCCCCCAACAATTTTAAATTTATATGCAGTAATATACTGCTATTGCAATGATTTTAAGCCATAAATCAGGGAGCATTATCTGAATCATACAACCCTGCATACAAGTATTACAAGTTTATGCCAAAATGTAGTTCGTATTTTTCAATAAAAAAAAAATGGCAAAATTTATCATTGCTTGACAATGTCTTTAGCATAAAACATCCATTTTCTATATCTCAAATCGTCTTGTTTGAATCTTTCTAAAAATAGTTTTGATATTGGTCAATTGGGGATGACGTGTCAACATTCACATTAGGGATGACATGTCAACATTTACAACAGGGATGACATGTCAACATTTACAACAGGGATGACATGTCAACATTCACATCAGAGATGACATATCAACATTTACACCCGGCATGACATGTCAACATTCACATCATAGATGACATGTCAACATTTACACCCAGCATGACATGTCAACATTCACATCATATATGACATGTCAACATTTACACCCAGCATGACATGTCAACATTCACCTCATAGATGGCATGTCAACATTTACACCCAGCATGACATGTCAACATTCACCTCATAGAT